CTTTTACCCATCCACTGGTTCAAGAAACACAGCTGGTTCTCTAAGTGTGCAGGAAGCAAGCTTCAGGAAATAGAAAAAATCCATTTGGTGGCTGGTTTCTCTGCAGATCTCAAATCTGGGGCAGGACGAGAAGACTGCTAAGGTCTTCTGTGACTCCAATCCTGGGAGCAGGCAAACACCCATGAGGAAGGAAGGAGCCTGCGGCATGCAGGCCCCACAGAGCTTTGGAAGATAAAGCTAACAGGTCATGCCAAGTAGGGTTTGTCACATGGCTTTGGGAGGATGGGATTTCCCCCAGTATCCTCCAAATCTTCATAATCAGAAAGCCTTCCACATACTTAAGAAGCCTTAAACCATAGAGTGTCCTTAAACATTTTCTTTGCTTACCAACATAACCATTTCCACTTCATAAGAGAGTGAAAATATGTGTCAAGTGCACATAAACCAAAAGGAGACCAGACCAATTTCTACCTATTTTGTGCTCATCAGGAGATAAAATTGGGGAGAAAAATGGAACCTCCTGGGAAATGTCTGAGAGGGATGATCTGGATTTTTATTACCTGGGTTCGACCTGTAGTATTTTTTCCTAATATTCTTAAGCTGGACTTTGGTCCTCGCCAGTAAATCTGCTCTTGAACAGATTTCTAAACCCTCCCCCTACCCCTCTCCTCCCCCTGAATTATCCAAGAGGAGAAGGTGCACATCTGTAGGAAGCTGGGAGCAGCCCCCACCTGGTCCTGCACCCGGCACCAGGGCCAACATTGTGGCTGTTGGCAAAGACTGCCCTGGCCAGGCCAGGGGGCAGCACTGGGCATTCGTCTAAGACCAGACTAGGACCCCTGGGAAGCGCTGCTGCACATCCATTCGACACGCCCCGGAAGAGTCCATCTGAGCCTGCTCCTTCCCTTCTGCGATCTCCCAATGGCCATGCCTGCAGCAGGTGAGGTGGTGGACACTCCTCAGCTCCTCTCCACACAAGACACCGAATGCCAAGTATCTGGGAATGCTGAGGTACCAGACACCCCCCATGCCTGCAAGGAGCTCACAGCCAAGTGGGTTGGACAGGTTATTACGCAGGGTGACAAGGACAGTGAGACAAATAAGCATGACATTGGGGCTGGGACACATGGAAGGGAGAGGCTGGAAGGACAAGGAAGGTGGCCCTCAATCTGTTGTTGGACTCGAGACCCTATTCATTTTAAACTTTGGTGGATGCAACTTTCAGGGGGGAAAAAAGAAGTGGCTCTCCGTTTTAATCTGAATATTCACGGGGGTATACACCTTACCACAAAATCATTATCAACACCCTCACGGTCACCACCAGCCTGGTGATGATCTGTTCCTCTTCTCATATTCACTGAAGAAGTCAAGGGCATAGGTATAACGGGTAAGAAACCTGACTCCCCTTTCCTGGCTGGCATCTCCAGCCCTAGCAGAAATTGGGCAAAGGAGGGGTGGGGTTCTAGGTCTGCTCCAGTTGAAGCAATAAGGCCAGAAAGCATGATTAAAGGAGCAATTTAAGGCTGAACCCAGGATAAAGGTGGCCTGGGAGGGAGGAGGGTTCCATCTCTCGTTCACTAGTTAAGATGTCTTACCCAGGCTAGTTAAAAGATCCTGTGGATAGTGTCTTAGCTCTTGGGTCCCAACCCTCGGCAGATGTGGCCTCTGGCAAACTGCTTTCTCAGCCACAGCCCCATCGCCATCCAATGGGTCTGATGGAATAACGGTGCCTTTCTTATAAGGATTACCTGTCACAATTGTGAACCCCTCTGAGGGTGGTCAACAAACTCCAAGACTTACCCTGACCACACACTACATGAAAGGGGCTGGATGTAGCACTTGTAAGTAGAAAGGTACGACACCTGTCATGTACCTGCCATGTCTCACACAGCTGTAAGGCTCTCTCACTTACTCCTAATAGCCTATAAAACATTTTTCCCAGTTTACAAAAGAGAAAATTAAAAACGAGTTATTCTTTTCATCATTCCACACAGATCAGGGAGATCCTGTTCTAGGCAGTGAGGCCTAGCGCTAAACAAGACATGCATGGGCCTATTCTTGTGGAGCATATATTCTGGTATGGGAAAAAAGATAAAGAAGAAATAATTCCAGATGCTGGTAAATGCTGTAAAGAAAACAAAACAAGATGATTTGATAGACTGACACAGAGGAACAGTAATAGAAAAAAGGTAGAGATCAAATACAGAGAACAGCCAGTGCAAAGGCCCTGAGACATAAATGAGCTTGACTTCTTCAAGGAGGAGAAAGCAGGTCAGTGAAGGGAGGGCTAAGAGACAAGTCAGGAGAGCAGGCCGGGGCCCAACTGTGTCACACATTACAAGAGGTGGTAGGACTAAGAGTTTAATTATAAGTGCAATAGGATGACGTTGAAGGTCTCTAAGCCGAGAAGGGACACAATTTAAGTTCTGGCTATCATGGAAGAATAGATGATGGGGGCTAGGTTTAAAGAAATTTAGAGTGGCTCAATGGGCAGCTCACTGTTTTACTGTCATTACTAGTCTGCATCTAATACCGAGGTTCATTTCCATAGTGCCACATTTTACACACTGTAGTATGATGTCATATTACAACGTCACATCTGACAAAGTGAGGTTCCCACTATCTCCGTGATCCCAGCTTTGCTTCTTGCATTGGTCAAGTAAGGACAACTGCTCATGGTTGTATGATGACAATTCAACAGCATATATGGTAACCTGCTTTGTATTCATCCGGTAACATTCGACAGTGTCTACCGTGTGCCAGATGGTAAAGTTGTTCTACAGTGTTAAAACTGTATTATTAGCATAGGTATTTAATAAAAAATTACTCTGGGAGAAATAAAGGGACAGCCCTCTTAAGAAAGGTGAGAACAGTGTGGATACTTGGTTCCCCTAGTCTTCACTTTTCCCTGCAAACTCTCCACTAAGCCAAATTTTCTCCAGAAGCATCTTCTTTGAATAGAGTGACTAAAGGAGAAAAAGAGTTTATATACTGGGGAGGTGAGACATTATAACCAAAGGAACCCAGGATCTACCCCGTAAGTCCAGCTTCAAGTCGCGGGTAACCCTGAGCATCAACCCGAGTGAGTTTTCTATTTCTAATCTGTAAAACCTGGACAAATCCATCCTCCCTCAAGGTAGGCAGCCGAGTAGGGAACTAATCTGGCAGTGTGGCATGGGTGAAGCACAATTAATGGAGACCTGCCTGCCCTGCTCCTTTTGAGTGGCTAGAGGAAAGATGAGAACACTCTCACTTATATATAAACAATTGGAGCTAGTTAAGTTTATATTGTTCTCAGAAATCCTTCCTGGTAGACAGGGGCAAAGTAGGTCAAAATCATTCCCCCCAAGCCATGAGCAGAACTGACAACCACTAGAGCTCATGATGAACAAGGAAGCCCAATGTCCATGACAGTCCTCATTAATTCATTTAGCCGCCACCTCCATAAATGGACCAAGACCATACAGCCTGGTCTGCCACCCCACTGCCCCTGCTTTTTAATACAACCACCAAGATCTGGGTTTCTTCTCCAGACGCCCAGAATGTGCCATTCTGCTCCAGGGAGAAGACCAAGGGAAGCAAAGGAAAGTTACGGCCTGGACAAGAAATGCAAAGACAGAGACGAATTAGTAGGTTACAGGAAAAAAAAAATTTTTTTTTGACTGGAAGACACCTACTCCTGAATGAGGATAAAACTGAATAGCCACTGAATTTTTAAGAAGAATTCAACAGAGTGTGCAAATGCACTGGATGTGGGACTTGTCTGTGTAGGGACCCAGGTACTCCACTAAGAAGACCTCTCCCTCCCTGTACTGGGTTGAATGGTGTCTCCTCTGCCAGATTCATGTCTATCTGGAACATCAAAATGTAACCTTATTTGGAAATAGGGTCTTTACAGATGTACAGTAATTAAGACGAGGCCATAATGGATTAAAGTAGACCCTATTCCAATGACTAATATCCTTATAAGGAGAGAAAACTGAGACACAGACAGACATACGGATAGAATGCCATGCGACCTGACAAAAGAATCGGACATTGCAGTGATACATCTACCAGCCAAGAAATGCTGAGGATTAAAAGGCGCCGGCCAAAACCTTAATTTTGGACTTCCAGCCACCAGAACTGTGACAGAACACACTGCTATTGTTTTAAGTCCCCCATTTGTGGTACTTGGTCATGGAAGCCCTAGGAAACCAACACACTCTATTTCACACCTCTTACCCAAACCACCAGTCCCAGTCTCATTCCAGGACAGGAGGCAAGACACACACACACAGGCACGCCTCCAGCCCACCTGGACTCGTCTACCTTCTCAGTGCCCACGGGCATTTTGCCTTTCAAGGTGATGGGGTGCAGGGATCACATTTCAGCTGCTCCCCTCTCCACCTTCTGCCACCCGAGGCAACTGGCAGGGGAGTGTTTGTTTTCTCCTCATATCCTCCTAGATTTATGGCTTCTCATTTAGATTAGTATTTTTTTTTAAATTTTATTCAATCTCATCCCGGAGATACTGGGATGTATACTTTATATTATCATTTATCTACTACTTTCTTACATTAATTCATTACTTTTGCTTATCTTTATTTTAAAAGAAACTGCTCATTGTGACAATAAATGAAAAATCAGCATCATCCTATGCAGAACTTGCTAGATATGTTCTTAAAGTGCACTTAAAATATTTTTTTAAAGTCTGTTCATGTACCATTTCAAATAATCTCGAGTGAGAATACTATGGGAACTAACGCTTTAAAGAATACAATGACTGTCTCGGTTTAGCTGGCAGGGAGCTCTGGGCTCCTAATCAGGAAAAAAAAAAACAACTTAAACTCTGATGTCGCCTCTCCCCCAGACTCCCCGGGAGAAGGATAAGAGCTGGAGGAAAGAAAGGCACCGGGAGCTCCTAGTTCCCCCGCGGGGTGACCTAAGCAAACAGTCGAGAACGAAAGGGACTTTAAATACCCAGTTCTGCGAGTGGACGAGAGCAGGGAGGGACTGACCTTCTCGCGCAGGGTGCAGTGGACGTCCGAGGCGACGCGCCCTTCCCACCACGGCTCATCCATCGTCGCGTATGCAGCGCCGCGATCCGAGGCTACCGGGCTTTCAGGGAGCACCCTGCATGGACACGAGCTACCTCAGCGGCCGCAGAGCGTCCCCCGGGCTCCGACCCCTGGCATTCCTATCTTCGCTCGCCCCCGGCCGGGAGCCCCCTTCTGCCCACCTCAGCGGAGCGGCGGTCGCCTCCCGTCCCCGAAAGGTTGCGGTATCCCCTCCCCTCTGTTCGTGGGACCTGGGGCGACCTGGAGCTGTGCAACGACTTGCAGAATTTTTATCTTCCCTTTTGCAAAAGTTGCAGAGAAAGTTGCCGACTCCACTGGCTCGCCCAGGGCTGGGGCTCCAGCAGGGGCCACCGGCTCGCTGTCCCCAACTCCTCCCCCGCCGCCCAGCCTTTGTCCTGCTCCCACATCCTGCCCTCGAGCCGGGGCGAAACTCACGCATCCCTCTCCCGGCATGGGGGGCTGCGGGCACCAGGCCCTTCCCGCGGTCGAGCCAGCGGGCC